TTCTTTGTAGAGTCTGGCTTTATTGGGGAGAGGTTGGGAAGGGAAGGAATAGTGTCCTATTAAACTTGGGCTGGTGCTGACCTTGGACTCCTGTCTCCCTCACCATACAAGGGTATCAAAACCAAAACTTAGGTTTCCCTAATTTGCCAAATGACTTCTCAGCTTCAGTAGATATGCAGCTCTGCAGGCTGCTTCTTGCAGTGAGATGTGGACCTGATATATCTTGCTATCTTGCAGTTCTTTGTTGTTTCAAAAAAAAATATTGTGTGTGTGTGTGTGTCCAATAATTTCAGTGGTTTTAGAGAGAAAATAGGTCAAAGTAACCAGCCTGCCATATAACCAGAAATGGGAGAGTCACCTCCCAGCTGGTTAGGTCTGTACTGTCTCCATTACCATGATTTGTAACGTTCTGTTCTATAGCCATGAACACCACAGTGTGGACTGATGCAGGTCTACACTGAAAGGATTCGACGCTCATAGATGATCTTTCTGCCACATATTCATTCCTTGCCTGGCTAGCTGATGACATTCCATGGTACTTCCTTCCATGAGAGCCCCGCAGAGGTACACTCCCTGACTCTTACATGTTCAAAGACACTTGGCTATTACTTTTGCTTCTCAGCCACAGCGTGTGTATAAAATTAAGGGGTCACACATTGTTTTCCCAGAATTCTTATACATGGGCTTCCTCCATCTGCCCTGGACAAATCAGAAGCTGGCGCTTTTTTTCTGTCCTTTTAAGTGAAATGATTTGGTCTCTTTGCTGTCCGGTAACTTCCGTAGCTTGTATCTTACAATTGAGGAGTTGAATTCATTCTCCTGGGGGAACAGGGTGCCCTTGTAATCCATGGATCTGACCCTCTCACTGTTAGGAAAGTTTTTACAAGATAATTGTGGGTGTTTCTTCCATCTTCACTCAGATCCCTTAAGTGACACCTCTTGTACATATGTTGTGTTGTCTTTGCTGTGGTTTTTGTTGTACTGTGAAACTTTTCATCTCCCTCAGCTGGGACCCTCACAGCCCTGTGTTCAGTGCTATTTTCTTCCTTGGTTTTCATGGTTTTATTTGAGTTTTGCTGCCTCTCTTTTTCATTTCTACAGACAGACATTTTTGCAGGATGGGTTCTTCATTTGCCTTCCTTTTCCTAGGGTGTCCAATTCCTCCTTAGAGGTGGGCAGTTCTTCCTGGAAATCCAGTCACAAGACAGCTGAGGGAAAGGCCAGCCCAGAGTTCAGGGCTCTGAGGGAAGAGGGGTCTGGCTTTCCCTGCTCCCAGCATGGATTGTGGGGGCCCTGGCACTGCTCCAAGCCTTCACAGATGACGGGGCCTGTCTACGCTGTTGCTTGTGCAGCCCAGGCATATCATGGCATCTGCTTGCTCCTCATACCTGCTTTAAGCAAGGGTTTTCCCCTCTCCAATGTCAGATTGGCAATGGCAGACATCTGCTGCATCCCAGGACCTTTCTTCATGCTAGCCTGCTGGATAATTCACCTCCTTTTTGGAGTTGTAAGTTTTCCTTAAAGATGGAGTATTGTTCCTTTATATGCATTTTCTACACTGTTTTCAGGTAGTCTCGGAAAGAAGGGTCAAGGTCACCTTACAGACCGGTGTGTGTTCTTTTAAGAGAGCTGATTTGTTGAGACCTCTGCTTTTTTGAAGGAAGAATAAAAAGACATTGCAGCATTTCCCTGAGAACTGGTTGTCCTTGGCATGCTCTTGACATATATTCCTCACAGAGACAGAGAGAGGTTGAGTATGGACGGGGAGGCTGACGGTGTCCCCTGACCCTGTATGAGCTCTTCAGCAATGTCTGCAGCATCACTGGCGTTTTCCTGTGATAAAATCTCCTCTTCCTGTGGAGAGATCTCGGATAAGCAGGATGCATTGGCCGTGGCTTACACAGAGGTAGATAATGGTTGATGGGGGCCAAGGTAGAGGACTCTGTTTAGATTTAAAACTGTATTCCCAACCCTCTCAAAATTTTGAAATATGTAGCTGCCACTAAAACACGAGCAGAACATGGACAAATGGGGACATTTCTACCTAATGGCATATCTCAATTTTCCTCCAATATCTGGAAGTTGAAAAGGGAGAAAAATGGGAGTCTGAATTCCTGATTTTAATGGATCTACAAGAATATGTATTGAGTATGAACAATCTGGCCAGGAGTCCTTTCTCGACTCCATTCTGATGACGCTTTGTGGCCAGGCTGGACTTTTCTTGGAAACCGAGGTTTGCAAAGGCAGCAGGGAAAGCAGTGCCTGACAGGGCATGTGGGAACCCTACCTCTTCCTGCAAGGTCCTGGCCTGTGCGGCTAGGGCTTCCTCGCACCTGTTTGTAGGCTCCCCGTCGCCATGCCTGACATCTGAGAAGGGAGGATGCTTCCTCTTTCACTAACTCCACTGTTCTGCTGGGCCTGTTCGGGCCTGGCAGGAAGCAGACATCTCACCTACGCAGCATTGGTGAGTGTGACCGGTTCACAGTGGATCGGGGTTTTGCAGATCCCAGGGTTTGAGGTCAGAACTTTCGATCAACATTTCCACTGTTTGGGCTTTGGTCACTATGGTGACCATACAATTTATCCTTTAAACTAGAACATAGCTGAGAGAGGTGGTGATTAATAACTAAACAGGGCCATGAACATAAATTGCAGATGTCCCCAACAAACTAGAATGAATGGCCAAGCTAACTCTCTCCTGAGTTTCTGTAATAAATCCTAATGTATTATGATACATTATAACAGGGGTCTCACTTTTTCTCCAGCACTGCAATAAAAACCTGACATTATCTTTATTACCAAGACCAGATACTTATTCATTCTTAGGAGCAAAACCAGTATCATTGAGGAATGAATCACTTAAACCTCAAAGTTTTTCAGTTTTATAGGTGCGTGCATTCATTTTTACATCACAGGCTAATCTCTTGCTCATAGTTTTCCGCCAACTTCTAGGACATGGAGTTTGATTTATTCCCATAGTTTATTACCCAAAGTTTGTTGTTAGGATTGCAGTACCTTTAGATGGTAAATTTGCTCCTAATAGCTGTGAGACAGCTTACCCATAACTCATTGGACACTGTGTACTGGGACCTGTGTGGAGAGCTTTCCAGTTAATGGTTCTGTCCTCACATCAACCTCCTGAGGAAGGTCCTGTTAGCACCCCCGCTCTATAACTTAGAGTCTAAATAACCCCTGTGTTTGCAGAGCCTGGCTTACTCTCTAAACAGCCCATGCTCAGTGTGCAGCCTCGTAGGCATGTTAGATAGTCTTTCTGCCTACTTAAGGCATTTGCTCTATTTTGTTTCCTTTAATAAGAACTGGTATAGAAATGCCTCTTTGAAGTCTATCCCTTGGTCAGTGGCCCGTTGCTCACTGTTTCAACTTGGCATACTTTCCATACAGTTGTGGTTTCCAGACTTGCTTCCTCTGCTCACAAAGATATGCTCAATGGTGATTATACACATTTGCATTCTTTCAACTGAGCCCCATTTGCGGAGGAAATGTAATTTTAGTGGGGTAAGTACTGTGAGAAATTCAAGTCAAGTGTTTCAAAATCCTCTTAAGTGGTCTTGGAAGTATGGAATAGTGAGTCTATGCCAGGGAAGTAGGTCATCTGCTTATTAGGACATCCTGTGTCCCTTGAGGTTCTAACACCATTTCCTACAGACTTGCCATGCATTTGCGAGTGCTTCTAGGCTCCAAAGACCAGAGAAGAAGTGGTCTTGGCACCTGTGTTCACCGTGGGCCGAGAGGAGAACATGGTCAACACTTAACTGACCTCTGACCCCGGGTCCCCTCCGTACCCCCTCTTCTCAGGGTAGCCAGGGGAAGGGGTCCCTGAAAACAAGTGACTTGTGGTTTTACTATATTCTGTGTGTTGCTTTTCTCATATTTCCATTAAGCATTTTAAAATTTGTGGCATGAGGGAATGCCGACGGTATTAATAATTATCTATATTCTGGGGGCTTCCTAAGCTTTTAAGATTTTATTAGAGAGAGAGAGAGAGAACAGGGAGAGAGGCAGAGGGAGGAGAAGCGGACTCCCCACTGAGCAGGGAGCCTGATGTGGCGCTCGGTCCCAGGACCCCGGGATTGTGACCTAAGCCAAAGGCAGATGCTTCGCCGACTGACACCTCAATCCCCGAGGTGTCCGTCCCCCACCCCCACGCGTCATTTTATGTAGTCTGTGTAACAATGCTTTCAGATAGGTGCTTTTGTCTCCCATTTTACAGAGGAAGAAATTGAGGTTTAGACATATTAAGTGACCGAGACAGTCCCAAAGCGTGGTCTTCAGAGTGTCACTCCCAAGTTCATGCTCTGCTCAATATGACCTTTCCATTAGCTTCCTTAGAGAGTTACACCTGTCCCTCAAAACACGTTCTTAGGTTTTCCTCCTCATTGTCATGTTGTGTGTTTGTGATTCTTTGAATTAAGTATTTTGGTAGAAGAATTTCAGTGCATTTCACTCAGCAGTCTGGATTGTCATGGGGTAGAGGGACACCACGATGGTTGGAGGGAAGATGATCACTTGTGTTGGCACATTCATTCGCGGCTGGATGAATTGTTACACGGTTCTGGAAAATTAAGATTTTTACCAACCTCTCAGTTTTAGGTCTTTACAAATTGAAAGGAAGCTTGCAGGCACAGGAAAGCTCACCTCCTCCGGGTAGCATTGGCCCCAAACGCCAGTGTGCACTGTCACCCAAGGCCTGGGACCAGGGTGGCCTCTGGAGCCACTCCTTTGTAACTAGGCGAGGCTATTGAAACATCTTTTAAATATTAGAAGAAATGTTGGCGAGAAGATTAACAAAGGTCAACAGCTTGTATGGTGAGAGGACACGTTCAGCAAGTTTACTCCAGACGTGAAACCTGTGTAGCCCGGCCCCTGACCCCAGTCTCCGGTTCCGGCCATGTTGCAGGGGACTCCGGCGGCCCCTGAGGTGAGGGCCTGGTCACAGCTCACAGAGACGGGTGATCGCACGGTCTTGTGGTTTGTTGCAGGGACCTCGCAAGCCAAACCCTCCTCAGAAGCCTCTGCCTGCAGATCCTTTGAGCAGGACCAGCCGGCTCGCCAGTGCCTCAGCCAGGGCCCCAGGACAGCAGGAGGCTGGGCTCCGCCTGGTGCCCCTCAGGTCGGTGTAACAGCCCCTCCCTTTCTCCCCAGATCCATGTGCGGCAGCCACACTGACCCGTGCTTTCCCAGCCCCATCAGGACGGGGCCAATAGTCTAAGGCCGGGCTTCCTGTCCCCCAGTACCTGGGAACAGCATGAGGGTTGCCCAAGCTGACAGGAACATTAGCATGAGGCACTCACAAGCCTGTAACCCCCAGGGTCGCGCAGTGGCTCTTGCTAAGCACCCCAGTGTCCCTGAGAAAAACCAAGATCAAGTAGCACTAGATCGTGAGCTTGGGAAACCTGTGGCTCTTGAGGTGAGCCAGGCCCCGTCCCCCTACACGGTGAAGATGAACAGCTCCCAAGTGGTGTGATCCCGTGAAGGCGGATCATACCCCCAAAACCACTGGAAACCTTCATAAACTCGGCCCCATCCCTGGGGTCCCCAGAAAGGAGGTGAGTTTGGGGGGGGGTGGTCACAGCTGAACGAGAGAGATGAGGTGAGGGGTTAGCTCCTGCACACCTGGGACGACGGGGAGCTTCTCCATCCAACTAACAAAAAGAATCCCCTTTCACGACCGTCGCCCAGCCACGGTCATCGCTTACCCTGTCCCAGAGGACAAAGGACCCAGGGAGGTTCACCACCTGGGACTGGCCCACACTGGTTTTCAAGAGCTATCCCATTTCCAGGAATTTTGCCAGCTAGGTGTCAAACTGAGCCACTATTATATAAACTCCTAACGAGACAAGTTACATGAAAAACATAAAAGACTCAAAACTTTTTTGACCTTTTACTGTTACCTGTTCTAGAGGTTATAAGCAGCTATTTCCGTTATGGTGCAAATGCCAGGGAAGGGGGCCAGCGGGCAGCCCCTCCCTGCTCACGCAGCCAGAGGATTTATACCCTGGAAACAGACAAAGGCTACAGGTTGGCCCCCCTCCCTCCCCGCCACGGGTAGGGTTACACCCGCAGCCAAAACACCCTTCTGACACGCATACCCCCTTGGCAGGAAGCTTGCTGTAGGAGCTCCGAGGAACCAAAGGTAGGGTGCTAGCCAGGCCTTGGGCTCAATAATTCAGCATCTCCAATGCGGAAAACACGCTCGTGATGTCATTACAGCTTTTGGGAAAAATGTTCAGCCTGTGAGAGCACAAGCAGCCTCATAAATCCCAGAGATAATGCCGGTCAAGGGGGCAGAGCTGTGGTTTCAGTCCCAACTGTGGAAATACAGAAAGACTGCAGAGCATGCTAATTATTTCTCTGTGGTTCGTTTGCCAGTCTTAAAGTTACTTTTCTAGTTCAAAAGAAAAAGCACCACTTTACGCGGACACGATTAGGGGAAGGCTCTCTTTTTAAATGCCACCAAGCCGTGGCCGGTCGTCGCCTATGCCGGCCACTGACACCGGCGCAAGTTGGTGTTGGTCTTGCCCTCGAAGAAGAAGATCTCGTTTCCGAGGGCTCCCACATGCCTGGCTCTGCTCTCCAGACGCGCATGGGCTTACCAGGTCACTGCAGGCGCGCTGTGGAGAAACGACACACCATCAGTGTAGATGCACGTGGGATGGGGACCACTCAGGGTCCCAGATGCCCAGATGCTCAGGGACTGTTCCCATGGAGACATCTGTACTGATACGTACAGCCACGATGGAGAGTTCTGTGAAATGCATCACAAAAATTGGTCTCACCTAGGTTTTGCTTTTTCTCACGTGGCTCCTAGAGAAGGTTCCATGACCTCCGTGACTCCCAGTTTTTCTAGGCAGGGGCACGGTTCTGGAGTCACCTTGCGGGGAGGAGGTGGCGCTCCGGTGAGGGCTCCTCCAGGGGCCCTGCAAGCCTGTCCCTGCCAGGGCCGTCCCAAGCACTCAGCACCAAGCCCTCAGCACTGGGGTGGGGACTGATTCCCAAGGCTCCGCAGAGGGCAGGAGAAGAGATCCTGGACCTGCAAGCCACCTTCCGGGGGGCTCCACCTACGATCTCGTTTTCTTTTCTTTTGCCACAGACCCGCTCCCAAGCACCCCCACCAAGCACCCAGGCCCCCCCACACTGCCTACACGAAGTGAGAAGCAAGTCGACACCTTTTCTCGACAGCGAAGACAGAAGTTTGCACTATCGTTCAACTCCAGTTGGAGTTTGTTTTTTTGTACCAACTTTTAGAATTTTTTTTAAAATGTTTAAAACACCCGTATTCTCCGAACTCGAGCTACTGCCGTCGGTGCTGTGCTGTGCTATGGTGCTCTGTACACTTGCTCAGGAACTTGTAAATTATTAATTTATGCCCGATGCTGGCTCCAGTGCAGTGCGCTGTGGGAGGCATTTTTTTTTTTTTTAACCATCACTGAGTTTTCCATGGAAGGAAGCCTTGTGCGCTTTCAGTAGTTCAGTGAACTTGAAATCTCATGCTGCATGGGATTCTGGACAGGAGGCTGTCTTTTTGATCGAGGTTTTATTGGCAGAATGGTTCTCCAACAATCTCTCCATGGCTGTGGTCATGGCACAGACCCAGCTCAGGAGCCCCCAGGCAGAACCTTGAGTGATTCTCTGGAACCCCCAATGATCTCAGCCCAGGGCCAGGGGCTTCATGTCCAGACTGGGCTGGGCTTTCAGGGAGCCCCTGGGCCTCAGCCCACCAGCAGCCACACCTTGAAGGTCCAGGATAGAAGGGGAGGCCCTGGCTTCTGGCCAGGAAGGTCTGGAGAGAACCTGAGCCAGGGCACAGACTGGAACACAAGGCCAGGCAGAAACTTGACCTTGAACTCGCAGGCCTTGAGCACATTTGGAGAGCAGACAAAGACCATTGCTTTACAGAAACATTGCCCTTCCCGTGATGCTGTGGCCTCAGCACCTTGTTTAGATGGGGAAGGGGGTGTTTGTGCAAGCAGGCTGCACCCAGGCACTGCAAGCCTCCAGCCCCCCGGTACTGCTTGGAGCTAAGCAAATTACCACCTTATCTTCTCAACTGTAATACAATGATTCTGTGTTCGGACAGATAGATGAGGCTTTCCATGCGACCATAACTATTTTCAGATGTGAACCAGTAACCAGATCTAGTGAATCAACATTGTAGATAAAAATCTCTTCTTGCAAAATTCAGCTTATTAAAAATTAGGCAGACTCCCTATGCCCACAAAAACTACAACCAAACAGAACGCTGTGTGGCAGGCTGTGTCTACCATCCGGTTAAGTTATGTGTCAGTTATTTCGGGGGTATTCTGTGTTCCCAGCTTGGCTGCGGGACTCTCTAAAAGAGGTTTTCAGCATGTCTGAATTTTTTTTTTTTTTTAAACGCTCGCAACCTACCTGTTGAGCATCACAGAATGTGATAAGGAAATCGATTCTTAATCCTAAATATTCATGAAATGTGGTCTTGGGCAGCAGCTCCTTCAACCTTTTACTCTTCAAACGTCTGACTGGGGAGACGTTTTCACAAAGAGATCTTGAAGCTGCCTGTACTAATGGCACGAAAATTACAAAAATCCTCAGACAAGGTAAAATGCCATTACGCCTCTGTGTTGTAGTCGGGTCATATGTGACTCCTTTTCACACTCGAAAGCAGTTGACCACAGTTCTGTAATTCACTCCGAGTGGTTTATGATAAAGACTTCAGCTGGGGTCATTTCAGCAGTTTGCCTGGGCCTTGAAGCACAGAGACCAAGAATATACCAAGAATCAGCTTGCCTTCCGGAAAGCAAGACTGCATTTAACTCGCCCCTTGTTCCCCACTGTATCCAGGCAACATAGTACTCATGATCACGGATAAACTAAATAAATCCGTGTCACAAACACACAAAAGGGAGCCCAGATCTGATACATTCCAACCCCTATAGAGTGTGTCTGTGTATCATACAATTATTCTTTTCTTAAAAAGGCAAAGCCATGTTAGAAAGTATTACTGCTGATGAATATCTACGGAATTACTGTAATTGATAGTACATTTGGTAACTGTATCAAGGCCAAAACACATGCTGTTGAAAAGTTTACAGAATTTTCATGGTGCGTTATGTGGGTATTGTCTTTACAGATGCCCGGATTCTTAGATCTGTCATTCTGCCCCTCCTCCTATTATCAGGAAGAGGATGTGAATTTTGTCTTTTTGTCTGTCCTTAGCTAGAATTCCTGTGCTTCCATTTCAGACAACCAGGAATAGATTGGTATTAAAAAAGGGTAACGCTGTGACCTTCTGATGACACGTGTCATCAGTGGTCATTTACGGGCAGCAGCTGATGACACAGTCCTCGCTCTACAGCCCAAATTGCGTTCATAGAGCCACGCGAGTTATTATTGAGTGCAAACATGTTTAAACCTAACATCCCTTCACAAATATAGATATTAAAGGAACAATACTTCCAAGATACAGAATCTATCAACTGAAGCATTTTAGCATATGTTCCATTTTAATACAACTAAAGAAAAGAACCACAGCCAGGGATTTTTTTAAGGGGGTGGGGGGAAGCAGTGGGGAGGTGTACCTCTCCCTTTTTATATCCTTATAGATGATCGAAACAAAAAAATCAATGCTTTTATTTCCATGGCAGTCTATTTTTAATATTTTAAATGTTTTATAGGCATGAATAAGAGTTGATTTGAGTTTATAAGGCCATCACTGAGAAATTTAACGTGCCTAGACCCAAAGCAGGCTCTGAGGGTTGTCACTTTCCTTGCCCCGTCTTGTTATCATTGTAGCTTACGTGACCCCACTTACCGGGAAGTATAGGGCTAATCTTCCAGGCATTCTCTTTAAAAGTTTATCTCCTGAATTTTTTGGTAACAGTTTGTTTCCCTGACACATGGAATCAGATGTGTAGCAACCAAGAGAAACAATGCATAACATTTTCCATTGTCCAAATATGCAAACAGAGGTTACACTTCCCAGTGTGAATTTTCCAGCTTACACATGTGGGATGACATCACAGAAACCACAAAAGCAACAAATTAAACTACATGAGCATAAATACTCCTGACTGGTCTCAGAGGGGACATTTTTATGCCTTCTTAACTTTATTATGAATTCTCAGGCTGAAACCACAGGCCATTATTCTCTGGCAAATCAGTACAACGCCATCACTGCATCCCCTCAAAGAAAAACAGCAAAAACTCTGATCTGTGTCAAGCTGTGATCTCCCCGGTGCTGCAGAGAGCCTGGTGCTGGGCGGGCTAGAATGCCCGAGCGCCTTCCTGCCATCTCAGTTGATGTTTACTAAGCATTCTGAGCCAATGCGACCCTAATAACTAAAAGGGCAAGATGCCTGGGCAGCTGGACTGGATCTTTCTCACGCAACCTGACCCCTGGGCAGGCTTTCCTCATGAGGCTGATTCCATTGAAAACTTCTGCAAGGGAGGGTTCCCTTCGGTGTTCTGGAAGCAGCAGGCCCAGGGCAGACTCGCTCTGGCTGGAGCCCTCTCCTCCCTGCTCTCAGTAGGACCCCGGGTAGCCACAAGTGACCCACATAAACAGGGCACCAGCCCTCTCCAGGAGTCTCACGGTGCCGTGCTGACCCCTAGGTCTGACTTCATACACTATGGCTGGCTGGTGGGCGACACTGCAGCTGCCATCTTTTCTCCTCCCCACCACCCCAGAGGCTGCCCCAGGCTGCTGCAGTCACCCGTCCCCCCACCACGACTCAGGAACAGGCCCGTATACACATCTGGACACAGCAGAGGCTAATACATCTGTTTGCCTCTTATCACCCGGAGCCCAGTTGCTTTTCCACAGCAAACCCAGTGCCAATGTCCCTGTCATGTGACAAGTCTCTGCCTTCAGGGCTACTGTAGGTCAACCCAAGTGGGTGTGGGCTATGGTGACCTGTCGCTACCCTCCCCCCAGCCCAGCCGCTGGACGCCCAAGCCCACTCTTCTCCAGAGTGGCGACTCGGAGGAAGCCTACCAGCAGTGCCCCAGCTTCGAATCCAGCATCGTCCCTCGCACAGGCACATCCCCCACCCTAGAAGATCAGTTTAGCCACGATGGTACAATTCCCTTGACTCACTCTACAGTTCCTGTTCACATCTATTCCCTTAAAACCTTTTTGGAAACTCCGATAAAGATACAAGTGACACACTAAGAAAGATCAGTGAGCCCCAGGCTAAGATCCGTTTCTCTGCAGTGAGGATGCTTCTAGAAGCCATTTGTATCTACCTGCACGCGGATGGAAATCCCCTCTCTGCTCCTGGGACAGCAGTGACAGCTGACAAGTCCGGCCCTGAGAGCCTGTTTCATAGGAGAAAAATTGGGGAGACAAAACATGCATATGAAATTGTTACAACATTCAATAACGGATAGCGATAGCCCAGAGATTTACCACACAGTGAAAGGGATTCTCAGTGGGATTCCGCTCTTCCAGGTTGAATATTCTGGAACCCATCCTGATTTTCCACATAATCTACAAAAGACATGTCTTACGCTTCCCCCGGGAGTCTCCTTCCAGAAAATAATATAATCAGTCCTCAATTTAAGTGCAGTTTAAATCCAGACAAAATGGTAAATAGCTTGTGATCTTTTTAGTTTCACAAAGAAGTAGAATGACATGGATGTCCGTGGTCTATAAGCAAACACTGATAAGAAAAACCAAAAGTATCAAATTGGAAATTTGAAAATCCTCTAAGAGTCCAAGGCAGGACAAGGAAGGGCAGAGCAATTGGTCTGTTTTGCCTTCTCTCAGGTCAAGTTGGGAGGTTGTGGGGGAAGACCCATGGTTTGAGCGTGTACGGCAACTGTTAAGTAAAACATCTTGAACACTTGGCTGCAAGCCACTTAGCACAGTACACTTACAGCTACAAAACAGACCGGTTCCTTAAGTTCATCGTGCGTTGTCCATTTATAAAGCTTCCACTTGCTAAGTTGTTTTTTTTTTTTCACATTCCTTTTACATTACAGTCTGTTGCTTTTGTGCACATTTCTCATATTGGGGTTCTACAGGTAACCACCTGTTTCCGTAGAGAAAGCCATTGTTAAGAATATTATATCCAATAAATGGTACCCAGATAAACATAAAGATGTGTCTTGTTCATTACTGACAATGTCACAAAAATGGGGAAAGGGAAACCCCTTCTCTGTATTTTCCCCCATTTACAGAGGCAGAAAGATGATCTGGAACAGTCCGTAAGAAACTAAAGAGAGTGGTGGTCAGGGGGCAGGCGCTACCAGTCAGATGACAGGACAAGAAAGAAGACGCCTTTTCAGATACACAAGAGTGGGGGTCAAGGGTTGGGGAGGAGAACTGGGAACTTGTCTTGAATAATGTAAATATATAACCTATCCAAATCAATCTTTTTGAAAGCGCACCTTATTTACAAAAGAGAGAAATTCAAAAAAGCAAGCATGTGGGGGTAGAAACATGGATATCAGGTTTCTCCAGAATGAAAATCTGAGTGTAGTGGAAATTCATAGATTTTTGAAAAGCAGAACCCAACTTCATAAAGAACTATAGAAAATACAAAGAAAAATAGATATATAGAATGGTAACAAAAGGTCTTTGTTCTTAACACCTTATACCCATGTCAAAACAAGTAGGCAAAAAATAAGTACCTAGAAGACCCCAGTTAAGAGCATACTATATGCCAGCTAAATAAACATAATAAAGAAAATTAACATAATCAAAATGGATCTGATGGAGATACTTCAAACATACAGAATGTGCCTTCTTTCAAAGTGCCTCTGAAAAAGTTCTGTATACACAGAACTATCTATAAAACTACATATAAAGCCACGAAGTAAAACTCCGGTTCCAAACGGTACAACAGACCATGGGTTGCATCTTTGGGAAAATTAAAACACGAGTCAAATCACTGATCTCACTAAGGAAAGATGAGGGAAAGCACACACACAAAGCATCTGAACGTACAGACTCCGGTGCGGCCCCGTAACCCAGGGAGATGTCTCAGGACTCTAAGAATGGTTCAATACTTTAAAATCTACTCATTCAAGTCACCACATCGACAGGTTTTCAGGAAATATGTCATATTAGGATTACCAGAGACATTGAAAAGACATTTGAGAAGATTCAGCACCTATTCCTGAGTTTTTAAATATGCTGGAATCCACAGGACTCCAGAGATGCAAATGTCATTTGTGGAAAATTAAACTCACAAACCTATCACAAGACCTCATCAGCGCTCACAGTTGGCTACCTTGACTGCAACAGCAAACCACTCTTAAATTCCAGCGGCTTGT